TCGCGCTGTCCGCCGCAGCCCCCGCCCTGGGGGTCACCACGTGGACCTTCCCCGTCATCGCGCTCCCCATCAACCTGTACATTTCCTACCTTGGCTTCCGGTTCTACAGGGACGCGGACAGGAAGAGCTCCAGGAAGCTGTTCTTCTGCAGCCTCTGGCACCTGCCCTTGCTCCTGCTGCTCATGCTCACCTGCAAGCGGCGGGGCGCGGACAGGGACAGCGGGGAGCCTCAAAGCTGAAATCACACTGGCCTGTGGGAAACACAACAGGGAGACGCACACCTTTTTCCCTCTGCTGTGAGGCAAGAATCGTTTGGGATTCCGGAGGAGGAGAAAAGAAGTCACTGGGTTCAGTACAAGGTGCAAAGCGATTTGGTGCTCATGATCCTGCAACAAAATTTTTAGTGATGATATACAAAATCCTCCCAAATAGGAATTGGGCTGGCTCAGTAGGTTAATAAGAAAGACTGTATTTCCCTTCGAGGGCCTTTACATATCTCTTCCTGCACCTCCACCCCATTCTGTCCTTCCTCACTTCCATGAGCAAGTGCACCTCTTCCGCCACCCCCACCTTCTCTGCCCATCCACTGAGCCGCATAGTCCCTCCAGCAACACTGACATGAGGAAGAATCCCAAACGGTTGCCTGGGGTCCCAGACTGGACTGCCAGCCCCGCCCTCCCCTCATCAGCACCTCAGCATTTCCAAAACCCCGGGAATCCAAGGCCTCCTTACAGGAGGGTCGGAGCATTTCCTTCTGGAAGGGGAGCGCTAGACTTAACACCCGAACCCCCCAGCTCGCTCCACGCTGTCCCTCAGCCAGTGTGCACAGCCCCCCCCCCCCTTTGCTGGGGGCCCGCTCAGGCCCGTAGGGAAAGAATCAGAAGGAGTGAGCTGAGGACTCTGGCTTGTCCTTCTGCTCACGTTCTTGTCCCCTCAGCGAGAAACACATTTCCTCCTCCTCCTTCCGAATTCAGAAATTACCCCACACATCCATGGGCTTTGGGAGCGGAGTTGGACTCCGGGGGCGCTGCTTCCGGTTCGGGGCGCCGGGTGGGTTTCCCTGTAGCCAGGTGTGACCTCATCACCTGTGGGTTCACAGTCCTTCCCGTGCGCCCCCTTCCCCTGTCCAGTTCCATTTGCCTGAAGGTCTTGAAGCTTAACGGTGTTTTAATTGCCCAATCTCCAGGGCAAGGATTCATGTGGAAAGTTTAAACAGCATTTACTTATTTTTTAAATACATTTTTATTGATTTCAGAGAGGAAGGGAGAGAGAGAAACATCAATGATGAGAGAGAATCATTGATCGGCTGCCTCCTACACGCCCCCCACTGGGGATCGAAACCACACCCCAAGCATGTGCCCTGACCAGGAATCGAACCTCGACCTCCTGGTTCATAGGTCGATGCTCAACAACTGAGCCACCTCCGCAAGGCCCAGTGGCATGGAAACAGCCGTTGCAATAGGCCTGTTCTCCGAGATTTCTAAAGCGGTTACACTCAGCGTCTGGCCCTGTCTCTGTGCATCTGCTATGTTCCCTCCTGGCCGCAGCCAGGTCATCTCCTGCGAGGGACGTGGCCCGGGGTGACTGGGAAGAACGTCTGCAACCTGTTGCAGCCCTGAAATGTGTAAAATGCCTCGGTTCTCCTTTCTGCTGAGTAAACGAGTATGAGAACGGGAGCTGTGCTGGTTTTATTTGTCATCCTGGACTGAGTGTGGACAGTTTCTGGTAGAATTGATAGCATTTGACTCATTTTCATGAGCGAGCAGAGTAGAGGTGGGCACATGGGCAGTTCTCTGCAGGGAGGGAAGGAGCCCCCTGTGCACCCAAAAGAACAGTAACAAAAGGCCGTGACCCACCGCCCTGCCCCACCTTCTCAGACTCAACGCGTCTTCCCTTCTCCTTCCTTCCAATCCATCGCTGAAAAAACCCCCCTTGGGGACTCTGGCTTGTCCTTCTGCTCAGGAAATTCCCGGGGCTGCTGGCCCCCAACATCGGAGGACCGCGCCTCCCGGCCCTCAGACCCGACACTCCGATTTCTCTCAGGGACACTGCAAGGTGAGGCCCTTCACGCCTTCTCGCTGCTTCCCATGCTCCCCGACCCCTGTCCTCTGTGTCCCAGGATGGACCCCAACAGCCCCAGCAAGGACAGTCGCTCGATCCCCCAGACCCGCCTAAAGGCTCTACTTTGACCGCCTTTCCCACGGACCCCATGCCCATCAGCATTCCCATGGGGTGAGCATCTTCCGGAGACGTTGGCTGCCACTGCTCTCGGGGAATCACTAGGCACAGGTCCATAGTAAGGCCTTAGTCTCAAGGTTAGAAATAGGAAATCTGAGTTTGCTCACCTTGGAGTTCCCAGACCTGCCAGCCCCTCCCCCGTGCAACGTGTCGGGGTTGGTGGTCAGAGCACAGCCTGGGATGCTGTCCGCACCTCCTCTCCCTCCCCAGCTTGCTCTGTCCTCCGGCCTCTGTGCTGTGAGTGCAGACGCGGCCTGGAGGCCCGGCTCCGTGGGGGCCACTCCTGCAGGAAAAGGGCTTGAGCTTTGGAACAGGACTCCGCTTGGAGTTTGGTTATTCTAAATAAACCAGCTAAGGAACAGGAAGAGGGACACGTCTGGGCCCTTAGCTCCTTTAAAACATGGATTTTAACCTTGAATTCCTCTGATGCTGGGAGTACTCTACCAGCTCCCTTTCCATTCAGTGAAGCCACTGGGTCAGTGAAGGATAAAAGCACACGTCCCCACAGGGCTGTCTGTGCTGCCCTGTGGGAGCGTGGCAAGCCTGCCGGGGTGG